TCTAATTTGCTTTGATTTGCAGGTTTGAAGCAGAAAATGTAGATTATTTTTTTTTAGCACAGGGAAAAATAGGGATTTATGTGATTTTTCCAGAAAGACGGATTTCTGAGCAGCGTTCTGGGGCGAGAGGAACCGCTATGGGTAGGTGAAACCTCCCGGCTGCCTGGCGATGGGTGCTCGTGCCACTCGCGGATGCTTTTTGAGCATCAGTAACACATTTTTTTGGTGTTAAAAAAACAAACGCCACAGCGCTAAATTTCTGCAAAAAGCAGAACAATTCAAAATTTCTAGTAGTAGTCAGCATCTTTGGGGTTTTCCTGTTTTTTTTTCTCACATTTATTCACACTTCTCTTTTCCGTTCAGACTTTGGCATTTCCCAGGGTTCATGTGTCCCCGGGTGAGCTCAAGCTGCACTCAAAAACCCCGTTCTGGTCTAGCAGTGACCCAAAAAGGACCAGAAACACCCCAAAAAAAGGGATTTGCGTCAAAGTGGGAGCAAAGGCGAGGTAGGGAGCGCAGCGTAAGCCAGCAAACTGCGGCTGAGCGCCGGCTGGGTTTGCACTGAGCCCACGGCTCGCAGGCAAGACATCCAGCAGGACCCAAAACGGTTGGTTTTAGCCCCAAAATACGGAGCTGGGCATTCGGGAGCCGTGCAGGAGCGAGCACCTGTCCCCTGCAGCGACGGGGCCGTCGGGGCTGGTTTGCCGGGTTGGGAGGAGGGTGTGGCTGTGGGGCTGCTGAAATTAATACGTTTCTGTATTAAAAATACCTATTTAAATTTCAGCCTCCAGAGGTGGCCAGTGGAATGCCAACACACGAGGTAAGGCGCTTTGTGGGGTTTTGGGTTATTTAGGGGATTTTTAACCTCTTCAGGGTAAAAAAGGGATGCTTCCTAACGCCTAGAAAATAATTAGTTAAAAAAATAAATGAATAAAATGTTAAAAATTTCCCAGCCTCTCCCCTTTCCCAGCCTTCCCCCCTGCACTGGTTAGAAATCAAAGCCAGGAGGGATTTCACCCCAAAAACCGGACGGACAAAGGGACGTGGGAATCGACCCAGCCCCTGGCCAGGACTCTCCGTGGCGGGCGGGTGACACCTCCCTGGTCTTCCCCACAGCTCTTCCTCGCTGCTGCCCTCCTCTTCCTCGTCGGAGCAGGCAGCGGGGCTAATGGAGCAGCCGCAGGCCGGACGGTGGGAGCGAGGGGAGGGGCACGTCCGCCCCCCCCAGGTGAGTCCTTGACCTTGGCCGGCTGCTGGAAAGGGGAAGAAAATCAGACAAAAAAAGCTCCTGAGTTGAGGTAGAGTCAGGGAGATCGTGTAACTGCCACCACCGTGGGCAAAACTCAACGCGGGGGAGATTTATTAAACTTGCTGGTAATTTAGAATCGAGTGGGATGGTGAGAACCAGAACTAGATCCCCCAGCCTCAGCTGCACTCCTGACTCTCCCACCGAGGGGGGGGGCCTGTGGCCGCAGGGCGAGTCCCAGAGTCACGGAGGGTTTGGGCTGGGGGGTCCTTAAACCCACCCAGTGCCACCCCTGCCCCGGGCAGGGCCACCTCCCACCAGCCCAGGTTGCCCAAAGCCCCGTCCAACCCGGCCTTGAACCCTGCCAGGGGGGGCACCACAGCTGCTCTGGGCAGCCTGTGCCAGGGCCTCACCCCCCCGGGAGGAATTCCTCCCTTAGAGCTGATCCAAATCTCCCCTCTGTCAGCTTAAAACCGCCACCCCTCGTCCTGTCCCTCCCCCTGATGACGAGTCCCCCCCCTTCCCGCAGCCCCTTTCAGACGGGGGGGCCGCTCTAAGGTCTCCCCGGAGCCTTCTCTCCTCCAGCTGAACCCCCCAACTCTCCCAGCCTGTCCTCACAGGGGGGCTCCAGCCCCCCAGCATCCTCGTGGCCTCCTCTGGCCCCGCTCCAGCAGGTCCGCGTCCTTCTGCTGTGGGTGCCCCCGCGCTGGGCCCAGCCCTGCGGGGTCTCCCGGGAGCGGGGTGAGGTCAGTTCAGAACAGTTTGGGGTTTAGTCCTCCTCGAGCTGCTCCCGTGGGCCCTCCCACGGGCTGCGGCCCTTCGGGACGACGCTGCCCCAGCGCGGGCTCTCGCGGGGTGTCTTCACCAGCACCCGGAGCACCTCCCCGCCCTCCTCCACCAGCCTTGGTGTCTGCAGGGTTGTTTCTCTCACGTTTTCTCCTTCCTCTCTCGCAGCAGGTTTTGTTTTTTTGCCTTACACACGCTGTCACAGAGGCACCACCAGTGTCCCCAGGGGGCTCAGCTTTGGCCAGCGAGTGGCTCGTTTCGAAGGCAGCTGGTCCCGGCTGTGTCCGTGTCGGGCAGCCCAGTGACTTGTCACAGAGGTCGCTGGCGCCACCTGCCCCTCCCGGAAACCCGGCCACCAGAACCCGGTGCCCAGGCTCATCCCTCCCTCTGCCCTCCAGTCTGTGAAGGCCTCTGCTTGTCTGATTTTTAGCAGGATTTCCCCCCATTTTGTGCCCCCAAATTTATTAAGGGTGGGTGGAGACTCCCTTGGCCATCCGTGCTGGGGTGAGCCTGGGCCGTCACGTGGAAGCCACCAGCGTCCCCAACGGGGGTGGGTCTCTGCCCGACGTCCCTCCAGCCCTTTGAGCTGATGGGGCAGGATGGAGCCATCTCATTTCACCCAAATCCCCCGTTTCCGCCCCGCAGCCGCCAGCTGGAGCCCTCCCCGGAGGAAGCGAGAGGAGGAGCCACCTTCATACCTGAAGTGGGTGACTTTTGAAGGCGAGCTGCCCGCCGACGCCGTCTCCAGCTGGAACAACTACACCGGAGGATGGAGTACGTCTGCTCAACGGAGAAGCTCAACTGCAACCCCGGTGCCTACATCCCCGAGCGCGGCCCCTTCTGCTTCTTCCCGTACGGGGAACGGGAGCGGAATAGCCCCAGCTTCAAGGTGCTGGTCAACGTGGGAGGCTTTGAGGCGCTGGACTGGGTGGATGACTCCTTCGGCAGCGTGCCTGAAAACGCCGTGGAGGGCTGCCCGTCACAAGACATCTTCATCGGGAGGAACCACTACGGCCTGGGCAAGATCTCCAAAGTGCAGAGGGCTGCCTTCATGATGGTGGACGATCAGGAGGTTTGGTACAAGTGGTACCAAGTCCTGGTGGTCAGGAAGGGCCCGGCAGATGTCACCATCTCCGACGTCCACTACAACATGAGCGGGGCAGTGGAGCACGGGGAGGACGTTGCCCTGACGGGGACCACGGTGAGGAACGAGGGCTGCCAAGCGCTGGGCAGAGCGGCCACCTTGGAGGAGGTCACTGAGGTGGAGAACGACTGGGAGGTGGACCAGAAGGTCTTCGCCACCATCCACGGGGTGTTGCGAGCCGCTCTCCTGACCTTCACCGGGACGGACTGGGAGGTCACCGACATCACCAGCATCCCCTGGGTGGGGTCGGCCAGCACCAGCAAGTACGTTGTCCAGACCCACGTGGCGGAGGAGGAGGTGAAGCCCCGGACAGCGTGCATGGTGGCCCTGGAGGGCCGCCGGTCGGCCATCCGCGTCCCCTTCTCCGCTCAGCTGACCCGTGACTTTGGCGGTGGCCACCGGCACCGTGTGGCTGTGACGGGGTGGGCTCGCGGCCGGGCCGTGGGGGGTGTCCGGGCCAGCGTCAAGCAGTGCTGGCCCATTGCCGGGGCCCTGCCGTGCCAGGCGTAGGGGACGCCGAGGCCTTTCGGTGCCTCTGGCACCTTCCACGTGACACAGAGAACGCCACGTGGCTTTTCGCAGTCTGCTTTCTCCTGTTCTTCTTTTTTCCCTCCCCAAATAACCACTGTCTCACCCCAAGTTAGGATAGCAGGAACTTGGAATACAGCAAAACGGCGCTTTTTGTGTTTGTTTTTTGGCCTTCCTTATTTTTCATATATTTTGTTTTCACAGCATAACCTTCATCCCTCTCTGAAACGACATGGAATGCCGAAAAATATGGGGTTTTCATCTTTATTTTTTTATTTCCCCAAAAATAACCTCCATCTCCCCTCAAAAAGACACAGCAGGTGTGGAATACTGAAAAACGCTGCTTTTACGGTCTGGGTTTTCGGGTTTTTTTTTCCTCAATAATCTTCATCTCTCCCAGAAACAGGATGGCACCAGCACAGAATGCAGAAAAATACATTTAGGGTCTCTGTTTTTCCTCTTTTTCTGCCATAACTTCCATCGGGCGCCTCTCTCCGTCCCGGTGGAGCAGCCGCCCGTGCTGCATGGACACGGATTCCTGCCACGCCGCCCGCGTTGCCTTTTCCTCGCGTTTCATGAAAAACGCTGCAGAGCAAACAGATCCAGGTGTGTGGTTCCTTAGAACGCTCCCCAAAAGTCATTTTTAGATGCAAAAGTGTGAGGAAAAAGGAAAAATAAAAAGCCAAAATAAGGGATGCGAAGGCAAGGACGTGTTGCAGGGTGACGGGGCGGGGGGCGGTGTCCTCGGAGGCGCTCCGGGTGTGGCATCATCTCGGGGTGAGGGGGGACCAAAGCCGCCCCCCCCCGGCGGCCAAGGGGTTCACCCCCTCCTCGCCCCCCCT